ATCTCGCCAGGAATCGGTAGACCAGCAGCAGTGGCAGGGGCACCCCCAGTGGCCATTCTGGATGCCCTGGGCTTACCACCAGGCCCAGGGGCCTCCCCCTACGGTGTCGGTGGCTGGGTCGTCCCGAAGGAGCAGCACCCCATCTGCCACCCCATTAACAGCCCCTCCGCCTGGAGACAACTCGTCCATGGTGACGAGCCGAGACCTCTGGTATGACCCAGCCGGGCTCGGTCTATATGGACATCTCGGCCGAAGGGGAAGCAGGGGCGCAGCTCGGCAAGGAGGAGGTAGTTCCCCCGAGAGAATTCTCATCGTCTTCGCCGGACAAGGCCCTGGCAAACCCCGCACCTCATCCCCCGTCAATGGACGCCAGGGCGCACCAGGAGCTGCTCCGAAGGCTGGCAGTCAACCTAGCGGTCCAGCACGAGGAGGTCCACGAGGACCAAGATCCTATGGTGGACATTCTAGCAGCAGCGGGCCCTGGTCGAGTGGTGCTTCCACTGAATAAAACGGTGGACAGATTGTCGAAAACCATGTGGCAGACGCCGGCCTCCATTGCGCCGACCCAAAAGGGGGTCGAGAGATGGTACTATGTACCCCAAGCGGGGCACGAGCATCTTTTTAACCACCCGACACCGGGATCCATAGTGGTGAAGGCCGCAGGGCAGAAGGAGCGTCAAGGGCCCCCAGGTCATACCCCGAAGGCGAAAGATTCCAAGAAATTGGACCTCCTTCTCCAGTTACATATAGCTAACCAGCAACTAATGCTGGGGCATTATGCCTTTAACACATGGGCATCAATGCAAAAATTTGTCAGCCAGCTTCCCCCTGAATCCCGCCAGGAGTTCGGGGCTATGACGGAGGAGGGAAAGGCAGTGGCGCGTACGTCCCTCCAGGCGGCCTTGGACGCGGCAGATTCCGCTGCCCGCACTATGGCCACAGGGGTGGTTATGAGGCGTAGCGCATGGTTGCAGGTGTCTGGCATCCCGCCCGAGGTGCAGACCACTATTCAAGACCTGCCTTTTGAGGGGCCGGGCCTGTTTTCAGAACAAACTGATTCCAAGCTTCATAGCTTGAAGGACTCCAGGGCGACGCTATAGTCGCTAGGGATTCACACCTCGGCCCCTCAGAGGCGCTCCTTCCGGGCCAGGCCCTATCATAGACGAGGGCAAAACGATAGGGGCCGCAGGAGGGGCCGCAGCAATAGTCGCCCTGACCTCTTTAGAGGCAGGGGGGGGGGGGCCCCCGGCACAG